ACACACACACACAAAAGGCTAGGAGCTAGCTGTGGAACAGACCACCAATTACCCGTATGCAAGCTCAGGTTGAAGCCAAAGAAAATGAAAACAAGTCCACGAGGGCCAAAATATAACCTTGAGTCTGTTCACCTGAATTTTGAGACCATCTCAAGGACAGACTTAACACGTTAACATTAATGACCAGTTGAGTCGTGGGATGGCATAAAGAATATTGTACATGACGAAGGCAAACTAAAAAGACCAGGGGATAAAAAGATCAAAGTGGCATCAGAAGAGACTCTGAAACTTGCTCCCTTCAGGGTGGAGAGCACATCCCTCCATTCTTGGTGTAGAACACCTACTGACCAGGATAGCTCTCTCAAGCCCCTCTTAACCATGGTAGTAGGTGTGGTAAATGACATGGAGGTGGACATATCTGCGACCTCTGGGTTCTCTGTTGCCATGAGGCCAAGGTCAAACAAGCTTCTACATTTCATCCTTCCTTACCTATTCTGACACCAACCATTCCTCTCACACCACTCTACATCTACACTGGGGTAATTTGCTGCAATCACCACACAGAATTCACAGAGGATACTCACAATGAAGGGAGTTCATTAGGGAAGTTAACAAGTTACCACAAGTCAAGATCAACCAACAATAAGGATGCAGTCATTGGTCTGCTCAGCCAGTAGCTAAGCTGTCTCTCTGCAGTCCTTAGGCTCTCAGCCATGTGGGCCCTTGGCCGTTGTCTCCATGGACTAGGAAACTAGTCTACTTATCACTCCATCCCACAGTTCCTCCGTCTAGGGCAAGATAAAGAGAAGGTACACCAGAGTTGTGACACTGCCCTTCAGAGACTCTGTGCCACAGTCTTTGATGCCTCTGGTCTCAGTGGCCTTCACCACTTCAGACAGGGATCGTGAATGTCCTCTTCCCAGGTCTCGAGGATTCTCTCTCTTCTGTCACTGCTTCAAAGATGGCTTATCCTTCTGGCCAGGAGAGCGTTAATCCCCTCCGTTAATGTTACCTTCCCAGCCAATCACTTGAGAATGGAAAGAAGAGCCATAAGAAATTCCATTCTACCACAGTGGGCAGGCCCTTCTCCAGGCTGCTCAAGCTTTCCCTTGCCCAGGCACATCTCCTGTCAACCCCCTCAGGACAGGTCTCCTCCTAACCAAGCATGTGCCCCCTGGCTGGACAAGGCTCTCTGCCTTCAACCTCTCGCTGCTGGCCTCTCTACTGCTCACTGGGCCAGCTCATAGCCAGTGTAGAAACTTGCTCAGCAGTCTTGGCTACTTTCTCAACAGCAGCTTTCTTAGACAGTGCTTTGATCTGTTAGACATAGGATCTCTGTGAGTCACAAACAACTGTTGGCACACCACGGCAACATTTATCAATAAACTATTTTTGGAGATTAACAATTGTGAGTAAACACAACATAAAAAATCCAAATTCATACTTTGAGAAGATTTTAAAAAAATTTCTTCCAATCATGAGGCCTGTTATTGAAAAGCACTTTGACTCTCTGCTGTTTAAGCCAAAAGAAAGACAAGCCCTTACTGTGGCTGGCCAAAATGGACTTGAGCATATTCTACCATAACACATAGTATTTATGATGATCACTTTAGAGGTCCATGGCTTTCAGTTGCTCTTTTAAAATTCCTGGATTCCAAGGTCCATTTTCAATTTACTATAATAAGATTTTAAGTTGATAAGAGAATGTTTTCAAGAAAACTACTAGGGGGAAACATTTTGAACTTCAAAATATGGGAGGATATAGGCATACACACACCCCCACCACCCTCTTTTTTGGTTACGTTTCCTCTCTTCCAACTCACCTTAGGCAAGCTATTAGGCAAATTACAGACTACCACGAAAAACAAAACAAGTCACACAAGTTTTTAGCTTCCCAGTGCATATAAAAATAATTCTTAGCCTATCTAGTCATCTAAAGCGTACAATAGCATTAGGAAAAAGTTTAAAATATTGTGAGAATGACCAAATTGTGATAGAAACAAGGAGTGAGCATACACTGTTGGAAAATCATGCCAATAGACTTGTTCCAGGGAGGGTTGCCACAAAGCTTCAATTTATTCAAAATACAACATTTGAGAAGTGCAAGAGAGCGAAGCACAATAAAATGAGGCATGTCTCTT